TAGGGTTGGGCAATATTGGCAAAAATAATAAATCACAATTGTGGTATTTAGCCGACAACGATTAATTTGACGATTAATACCCTGGAGTCCCTGAACACCCTTATGTTCTAGTCACATGACCAATTTAGTGGGAAAAATTTGCYCTTTGTAAAAATCTGTTCCAAACTGTGTCAAAATTACAGACTTTCAGATTAAACATCAAATTTTAAAATGTGTTGATGGATAAATAAATTACAGAACTTTCTTCTTTTAAATGTTCATCATATTTGAAGCAGAGAGGAGCACCGAGTGGACTGACTGGTGGCATTAATCATATTAATCGTCAAGTGCCAAAAAATAATCGATCAATGTTTTTCGGACGATTAATTGCACACGATACGATTGTGTGTGTGTGGGGGGGGGGGGCACGATCAAATGATGACGTGTTCGTGCCAAATCAGATCTGTCGCCTTTTAATATAAAAGATGGCCGACACTCATTTTAGAACATCGTCTGCACCGAGTCTAACGTGAATAGGAGAAAAAAAAACTGGCTATGAACGTGACTATGAGTGAATCCAGAACACAGAATATAAATAAATGAATGACGGGGGCCTTTAAAAAAAAAAAGTCAAAGTTGTAGCATTTCCAAAGAACTTCGTCATGATCAAACACCTAGATTAGGCTTGCAATGATTGCTTCTTACCCCCGACTCACCAAGCCGAGGTGTAACAGTGAGGCGAAAACCAACTCCGCTTCCCGAACTCGTTTCTACGAACGCCGCTGTCCTGAGCGGCGAGGAAAACGGCCCTGAAAACGGCAGAGATGAAACCTGGGCGCACGACGAGAAGCCCCCTGAAAGCATTTCCTACCTCTGACCACACCCTGTATCATTCTGTCCATCCGAGCTTAATCCATAATATATACATCACTTATACACACTCTCTTATTAACATACTTTAAAACAAAAAGAGGAACCAACTCGTTACCAAAGTGCAAACAAAAACAATAAAAAAATTGGTATTCTTTCTTTGCCTTCAAAAGACAAGAGGAAAGCCAGACATTCTTCATGTTGTCAAACCTACAAAAAAATAGCAGCTGAAAGGGATAAAATGGAAGCTGAGTAAGGTGCTTTAGCTTGTGCCTTTCCTGGTGCTGTGGAGGGGGCAACGCATGATTCTGTGCGTGATAACACTGGTCTCAGGCCAATTCAGCTTGTTTTCTCCAAGTCTTGTTTCACAACTTTACAGAGTAAACTAAAACTAGTCACTGATCTGCGTTTAGGAAGAACTTTCAGGTACGGCAGGAAGGCGGATTTAGAGATGAAGGACGGGAAGTTCGAGGTGGAGGTGGGGGGTTCAGGCTGACAGGTTGTTAGCCAGCTCGATCAGAGCCAGAGCGCCGTGGAGACGCTCYCGCTGCTCCTGAAGGCGCCGCTTGGCCCCCAGGCTGCTCTTCTCCTCCTCCATGACCTCCTCCTCGTCCTCGGACTGGAGGAACTCCATGGGGTCCTGCTGCTCCTGGTCCTCGGCCCTCGCCTTGACCTGCGACATCACCTTGATGGGTGTGGGGACGCGCTGCTTGCGGGTTTGCCAGTACCTGGAAGGATAAAAWRGGRGCTTTAATACACAACGTAAGAAGGGGAGGATAAAGACATCGATATTTGTTTTGGCTCCGCCCAGCTTCACTCACTTCGCCAGCCACTCTGCCACAGCCTTGTTGTCCACGGACTGAGCCTTGCCCTGGCTCGCCTTCGGCTCTTCCCGTTTCAGACGAGAGAAAGGGTGCTTGGGGCAGTGACGGTTGGCATGTGTGAACCGACTGCCACATCCTGCGCACAGACCAACAATCRTGAACGACTAACAACAGCTAAATTACAAGACCACTTCTCCCAAGCCAACATAAACAATGGGTTGTTCTAACTAAAAAATAAAAAAAAACTTTTAAAGGGATCCCTGATTAGTTGTAACAAGACGTGGATAGGTCCTCGGTGTGAGCGAGCTATATCCACCCCGAAGGTTAATCTTGGACAATATGGATGGAGGACAACAGAGCTGCTTCATGGAAGAAGAACCTCAGCTTAGCCTGTTAGCCTTTGCGCTAGCACTGACACTATATTTCCTTGGCTGTGTCCAAAACGGCAGGACGGGTCCTCCGAAGGTTGAATTTGTCGGCCGCATACGTCACAGCGCCGCGACGAAGGACGTCCAAAACGGAAGACTCCTCCGATGCGTCCGACAAATACGTCCTTCTTTTTCCCCGAATCGAAGGACAGGTCCGATGGATCCTTCCCGGCCCAGCGTATCCCATAATGCATTGCGGCCCGACCGGAGATTTTTTTAAGCTAGTAATGGCGGACGAAGCTAGAGAAAATAATACATTTTAAATAAAAATATGGTGAT